AATATATAGAAAAGAGTGGATGTAAGAGGTAAATGAAGAATACGTAGCCAATGGACAAATCGGGTATTATTGCTATAACCTATACATGAAATTAGTGTATTGAAAATATTAATGCTTTCTATCTCTCTTTCATAGTAAGCCGCCTTACTCTACATAAAGACTAATTCGTTGTCAAATGGTTGGATTATCCACGAATAGTGATCAAATCCTGTAACGTTCCTCCAGCTCAGATTTATATGAAAAAAGAAATCATATATACATCCCACAACCCATGATCATATTATATAATCCTCACGAAATAAAGAAACGTGTGTTTGATATCTATAGCTTGTAAAATGTATAAAAATTACCCATACCCATCGGGGCTCTCTCCTGACTCCCGTACGATTTTTATCTTCAAGACAGTTCTTTTACAGACAGACAGACAGACAGACACACAGACAACAGATGGATAGCTGGATAGATGGATAAATAGATAGATAGATAAATAGATAAGCTAGATAGATAGATAAATAGTTAAGGTAGATAGATAGATAGAAATCGACAGTGGAAACCACCTATTAGCCCTGTTAGCTTAACAGAAGATGAGCAAGATTTATATAATTTGGCTAATTTGGTATTGTTCAACGAGTTACTAAATGTTCTTGAAGTACTGAAGATACAATTGACAAAGAAAGGAAAGGTAAACTTTACATTTCCTTTGTGTTAGTCAAAGGACTCTTCTACAGATGAATCTTAGCACCGCCTCCATTATTAACACAACAAATAGTTTAACTCTCCTGCTCAGTGTATTCTTATCATTTGTTAATAACACCACATTCGAAGGCTTCCAACCTCTTTCTGCTGTCTGCTGAAAGTGTCCAATCTTCTGTCCTTGCCATATTAAGTCCCTCTGGAGCCTCTTTCTCAAATTGAAGTTAATATTTATTTTCATTGGACCTATTAGAATATTAAATGCTGCTTTTGTTTTCCCTATTCTCGCTTTGATTACTTCAGTACATCTACCATCACAGCCATTACTACATGAAAATTTAACCAACTTCTGTGAAATATTAGCTTATTATTAGACACACAGGTGAACACCTAGATAAAATATCAACAACCAGTTAGATATCCAATATCACATTCCTAGATATCTTCAATGGTGATGGACAAGATAAGACAGAGTATTCTGAAGACATTGAACAGTACCTCCATAACATTTTGATGAGGATAATGAACTTATGTAGAATTTATGGACAGTAAATCGTGTATGTGATCCATACTTAGGATCGTAGACCTGATATACACCAGAGAAATGTTGTGTTGCTGGTGTTTTACTACCAAAAACTTCACTCACTAACCTGAACTGAGGTGGAGAAAACTGCCACCAGCAGAAGTATTACCAGCGTTCTCAGTGTTAACGCCATCATCGTGGGTTTGCAGCCAACTGTGACTCTACTCCGTCACTGTACCTTTTAAAGACAGACGTGAACGAATGGCACATGCGCAGATTCGATATAAAAAAAATATACAGGTGTGTAGCAAACGGTACAGGGTAAATGAATTTTGTATATGTTGCGAGGCAAAATTCACTGGCACTGTAATTCTATTATACTAGTAATTGAGTCAACGACCGTAACGGTTATTGACTCATGGTGTTGCTGCGGAAGAAAAATACAGACAAAGTCTGTGTTTGTATATATTTGTGTATTTAAGATATATACTCCAGTGTATTCTATTCTTAGTAAACTGAGAATTTATTGACTTTGCCTTGATAATAAGAGGTATAAATTGGGCGTTGATTATGGGTGTTTAAATTATTCTTTCCTTAACGGGAAAATGTCTCCAGAATGTAGTACTATAACAGTTTCTTAGAGCATTTAACCACATGTTCCATATACATAAAGGAGAAGATGTAAGTCAACAATTACTGGTAAAATTAAAAACAAAGCAATAAATAAAATAAAACAACAAAGAAACAAGAATACCTTATATATTAATAATAAACTTAAAAAGTCCATACTTAATTAATTTGTTCCTTAGTTTACCTCCTATTGCAAAATTCACCTTTTATTTCATTTTTCACTTTATGCCTCTTATATAACATTCAGTTGTCACGTAAAACTCTGGTCTTCCCTGTTGTATTATACAAGTCGCATAAGTCTTGTTGTATAAATGATCTTGTTATATATCCTATTGTACAAAAAACTGGTTATATATTATCCTGTTGTGAAATATTTTTATATACCAGGTTGTATAATGATCTTTTCATAACTCCTGGTGTATAACTAACTTGTTATATATTTTATTCTAAAATTAATTTGCTATGCCTCCTATTGTATATGGAACTTGTTATGTTTTCTGTTGTATCATACACTTTTGATATCTCCGGTGTTTTGTCAAGTAATTGTAATATTTCCCTCCTCCTACAGTATATAATTCAAATATTGTGCTTGTTGTTTTACATGATGCACTTCTTATCAGATGAAGTCAGAGATCCTGATGCAGATGTACAACAATCTAACCAGTGGAGTATCTGTGAGTGAAGAAGAGCACCCTGGTTGCCTGGTGGCAAAGGTTTTACTACAGGCGCGGCGATGTGGGAAGAATGGTGCCGGTTTATGCGATGTTCGCTGGTGCCAAGAAGGGATCAGTTGATTTCACGCGTTCTACTGAGCTGTAACGCATGCAGGTAACCAATGAGACTGCGGATATTGGTGGAACCTTCAGCAATCTCTGCAGACGGTAATAGGTAATATCTGTGTGGCCATGGATTATTTACCAATTGCCCAGAAGCTTATACTATCCCGCACAGTTAATGACTGTTGCTGGTGCTGGTAGGAACCAGTTCTTCGCTACTGGTGTGCCCCCACGAGCGGTAAATTTTAGACCAGCTTAAGTCAGCTGGTGTTCAAAATGCTGTAAACCGTTAAGGCGAAGACCAGGACCACTCCACTTCGGTCACGGTCAGACGGATTTGTTGAAAAGTTTAATTGGACCTGGGACCAGAAGCTGCTCGTTTTGCCAGGCATCGGTTGGCTGCCCACGATCTGCTGACACACCGGCAAAACTGATGCTGGGTCTCGTCTGCATGCTGAAGATCTGCCGGACAGGTGACCATCTGGATGAAGTTGAACTTCCTGAAGACAATTACCCGAAGATTTAAAAGCTTCCCAAGAAAGGGTTGACAAAGATCCACTACCAGCTTCAAAGAGCCTGAAAGTTCTCGGTGAAGTGATGAAGTGCAAACCATGATGTCAAAAGTAAGCAAGGGTTCAAGGATAGTGAGGATAAGGTCTGCTGCATAACCTCTGCGGGAAGAAGGTTGGTCACCTACAGAATGGATATAGAATCCCGGAGAAAAGAATTCAGAGGAGAATGACAATATCTTAACTGCATTAGGAACTCTGTACAGAGTATTGAAGCTTGAAAGATCCTAATCTGCACACCGAGAGACGAGAGTGAGGGCGATATGATCAAGGTGTATAAATGGAAGTCAGGTTGTCGTGATATAAACAAAAAGCGGTGGTTTTTTAACTCGCCAGAATGGCTCGAGGGTTAGGATGACGCGTCACATCTATAAGAGATAAACCCGCAACGTGGGACTCACGCAACGTTTATTGGCTGATATGGGTCAGCTCAAAAGAGACACCGTTAACCAATATCATATCCCATTACATGTATACAATATACGTCAGTTAGTACACACTGCATGGTTATTACCCGAATTGTCTTACACTATGCACGGATGTAGTTCACAGCATTTCACCATAATACAAAATGATTCACTGGTGATCTTTCACCATGTGTGGCTTATATTCTCTTAATTTTAGTATTTCCAAGTAATTTTGAAGTTACCAGTGGTATACCAAAGGAGCTGACCATCATTGCCAACCAGAGGCGCCGTCCTGTTTATCTATCAACAATTAACTTGTTAGCGTCCAGATCAGCGACCAGATGGGTTCAGAGGTCGCGGCGTATGAGGTCGCAGACTTAGGCAGCGGTATACGAGACATTTCGTTAACGAACATTAAACGGTGCCCTCGAGGAAACAGATCTTGGTAACAGGTCGGAGAAACTCGCGGACAGCAGTGTGAACACGAACCTGAAGGACGAGACCATCTGCACTAGCAATCGCTTCGACAACCCGACCAAGGGGCCACATGCCACGAGGAAGGGTTTCTCCGGTAATGAGAATAAGATCGTTGACTTTGATGCATGGGCACCCAGTTGTTGCGACTACAGACAGTGCATGCCTTGGAGATCTTATTCAGCAGAACACGACACTTACAGTAGGTGTCCAGAAATTTTGACGCAACAATTAAGGCGTGTGTTCCCTTTCAGAATGTCCTGCATGTACTGTATGTATTTCTCTTACAATTAGCGTAGTCATCGGACGTTCACGTGGAAGCAGTATTGGCCCATCATGTGTCGCCGCCCATTCACGGTGTAGCCTTCCTCCAACCCTCATCAGGCCATCCTTAGACATGTATGGTTCTAGGCGATAAAGTTCACTCTGGCGTGTCAACCTTTTTTTCTTTTTGCATTGAGCTTCATTTCTTGTTGGTACCGCTCTCTCTGTATCACTCTACACATTCCTGTCTTTGCTTGGCGTAACTCTGAAACACTTAACTCGATGATGTTTGCTGTTGGTGTTTTATCTTTAACGATGTTGATAACCCTCCGAATCCAAGCTTCTCCTCTTTCAAGCTGGAGCCAAGAGGAGTACTTTTCCCACAGGCACTGCAAGGGTTCTTTGGTTCTGTCTACTATGGAGGTCAGTGAAGTCACGTCCCCTTTCACTTCAGGATCGCCCTCGAGCTCCATGTCAACTTGCGGTGCCTTTGGCCAATGCTTGGGAGGTAGCCTAAAAACCATGGACCCGGGACAATCTTCCAGCATCTGAAAGGCGGTTACTCCTCGTGTTGCATCATCTGCCGGGCTCTGCTCTGAGCTGACATGTCTCCATTTCCTCATGTCCGTGAGCTCTCATATAACCGACATTCTGTTTGCAACAAAGGTGTGGAAGCGTTTCCCAGCGTTACCAATATACTTCAACACTATCATACTATCCGTCCAAAACACAGAGTCTACCAGTGGTACACTGAGTTTGTCGAACTGTTGTGTCAGCATGTGCTTCCTGTATGGCAGCATAAAGTTCTAGCCGTGGTATGGTTTGTTGCTTTAAAGATGCTAGTCGGGCTCTGCCACACATCAAGGTTAATTCTTCCTTCTTGGTCTACAGTCCTCAGGTAGGTGACAACTGTATAAGCTAATTGTGAAGCGTCACATATGTGGTGCAACTGAGTGCGGCTCAGACCAACTTGTGTATAGCAGCGTGGAATCTTGAAGTCCTGCAGCAGTTTCAGGTCGGACAACCAACACTCTCACAAGTCTAGGTTGTGGTCAAGAAGAGGTAAGTCCCAATTTTCTTGTCTCCTGCACTCGTTCTGGAAGATGAACTTTACCTTTGCAGCAAACTGGTCGTTTTCCAAGTTTCACATCACTCCCAGGGCTCTCTCTGAGGGCAAATTGTCTTAGGTGAAGTCCACTGCCTTGATACCGGTGTGCCGCTTTTCCATGAGGATAGTGCTGAGTACTCCTTTGTGATTACTTATCCATTTTGTAAGCTTGAATCCCACTCTTAGCAAGAGTTCTTGCAGCTGATGTGCCATGGAGATTGCTTCTTCAGTATCAGTACCAGACACAAGCAAGTCATTCACGTAAAGCTCTCTCTAGCTCTGGTGGTCGCTACAGAGAATTCTAAATCATAATCCCGGAAAGTTCTCTTCAATGCATAAGTAGCACACCCTTCCAAAGATATGCAGTGCCATTCGGTAGGCAGTTGGGGGTCCCGACAAAATCTAATGAGGACTCCAAAGAGTTTGTTGTTAAAGTCTGGTCCTTTAAGTATCTCGTTGTTTAGTGACACACTGACAAATGTTGCAGCACAATCGAAAACAATGCTAGTCTTCTCTGGTTTGTTTGGATTTAGTATTGGATGATGAGGCAGGGGCCAAGTTCTTCCAGGAATTGCTGTTAGTTCCCCCTTTGGCACCTTCTCCTCGAAGCCCTTAGTGATCACCTGTCCAATTTCTGCAACATATCTTGATTTCAGCTCTGCATTTCTTAAGAGGCGTTTTCTCAGACTATTCAGACGCCCGACATCAAGTGATCTGTTGTCCGGTAGGTTAGGTGGTTTTCGCCGGAATAGAATGGGAAACCGGCAGTGTCCATTTATCATCGGACTTATCGATGACCAGGCCTGGACTACTCTTTTGTCCTCCAGCAACACTGGCGCATCATTTTATATATATATATATATATATATATATATATATATATATATATATATATATATATATATATATATATATATATATATATATATATATATATATATATATATATATATATATATATATATATATATATATATATATATATATATATATATATATATATATATATATATATATATATATATATATATATATATATATATATATATATATATATATATATATATATATATATATATTTTTTTTTTTTTTTTTTGTAATCTCCAATTCCCAACGCGCCTTACTTGTGCCTCTAAATGTGTCTCAGCAGGGGGACAGTCGGTGTTGAGCCCATGTCAGCAAGAGTAGTATATTTTCATGGGCCATTGGACCTTTTACAGTCCATCCGAGTTGAGTCCCCACTGGAAATAGTGCTCCGTCTCGTCCTGTCCGGCATTCTAATGGAATCAAGGCTCTTGGACAGTAATTCAGCGTCTTGAACATCAGACACAGGTGGTATGATTTCTCGAAGATTTTCCCAATCCATTACAATTCAGTGGTTCCTAAACTAGGGGGGGGCGAAGGGGGGCCGTGAAGTGGGTACAATGTGGGTACTGGGAGGGGTGAAGCCATCTACCAAAATTTGCTATTTTTTGCTCAAAAAGAATAGAATGAAGAGACTCTTTCAAGAGTAACTCTCTCTCTGTTTGAATCTTCCTCAATTCCGTGCAAAACCAAAGTATAGTAGTCACCCTTATCCGTTTTCTATCATTTTATCTCTCTCTCCTTACGCGTCTTTTCCATGTCGTGGATACCATACTGACTCTCACACTACTCGTATGTTTCACAACACTACCAGCCACCGATCCTCCCTCATCTTCAGATACGGTATGGTAAGATTTATCTCAAACTGTGTGTTTTAGTCTGGATTTCTTCTCTTTTAATGATTTTTTTTATTAATTTTGCTTATAACTATGATGTGATGTATAATACCCACTCCACGAGAAAGTTTATTGTGGTTTCTTATTTAATCAGTCTTTTAGTTAGGTGTGTGACTGTGCAGTGTGTTTTATAACTGTGTGGTGTGTGACTCCGGTGTGGCTGTGCCGTGGTGTGTGACTGTGTGGTGTGTTGTATGACTCTCTGGTATGGTGTATGAGGGTTGATGATTGTTGGTGTGTGACTGTGTAGTAACCGTAGTGACTGTAGTCACTCTATGGTGCAGTGTCTGACTGTGTTGTTATTTGCGCTTTGCAGAAATGCCTGTAGCGAAGGAAAGGAAGTATTTCGAAGAGTATATCAAGTTTGGCTTCACCGTTACTGAGAAACATGGGATTCACCTCCCTCAGTGTGTCGTATGCCATGCAGTTTTCAGCAATGACGCCTTACGACCTGATCGTCTGGAACGATATTTGAACACTAACCACAATGCATAGAAAGACAAGCCAAAGGAGTTTTTCACAGTCAAACTTCAAGAGTTAAAATGTATGAAGCTGGACACCACCGGAGCTTTTCATCAGGAGACATTCAAAGTGGTGGAAGCATCTTACGAGCTGTCACTACTTATTGCCAGAGCAAAGAAGGCTCACTCTATTGGGGAGACTCTTGTAAAACCATGCTTGTTGAGTGCTGCAAATATTGTGCTTGGGGACGAAAGCCAGAAAAAGGTATCTAAGATTTCCCTGTCTGATAACACAGTGAAGTGTCGCATTGATGAACTTGCAGATGACATAAAAGAGCAAGTTTCAGACAAAATAAAAGCGTCCAGCATTTTTGCAATACAGTGCGATGAAACAACTGATGTTGCCCACTGCCGCCTGTTGCTTGTTTATTTTCGATTTGTGGATGAAGGAGCTGTGAAAGAAGAAATGCTTTTCTCAACATCACTGGAGACCCCATCAAAGGCTTCAGATGTCTTTGCAAAAGTTTCTGACTTTTTCAAGAAAGTGATATTTCATTGGAAAAGCTAGTCGGTATCTGCACTGACGATACCCCAACGATGCTTGGGTCTCGCTCTGGATTCGTAAAGTTGGTCAAAGAAAAGAGTCAAGCCATAACTGGGACTCACCGTGTTATCCACAGACAAGCACTAGCTGCTAAAACCCTCCCAAATGACCTACGTAACTCACTGTATTTGGCTATAAAAGTTGTGAATTTTGTGAAGAAGAGCTCTTTAGATTCTAAGCTTTTCACAGCTCCTTGCAAAGATTTGGGAACTGATCACAAATTTCTCCAGTTCCACACGGAAGTATGCAGGCTATCCAAAGGAAATGTGTTGAATCGGCTTTATGAACTTAAGGGTGAAGCGCAAATTTTTCTGCAAAGCCAGAAACAAGAAAAATTGTATGATGCATTCACAGAAGAAAAGTTCCAGCTTTCACTGACGTATCTTGTGGGCATTTTTGAGGCTTTCAACAACCTCAATTTGAAGCTTCAGGAAAGAAACTCAAACATCATTGCACATTATGATGTAATCAAAGCTTTCATGGAGAAAATTCAGCTTTGGTAACGTTAAGTACAAGCTGGGAACTTTTCATTTTTTCTCATCTCGATGAACTCTTAGCTGAGAAGAAAGATCTTGATCAGTATGGGTTGGACAAAACAAGGGAAATTTTATCTCATCTGGATTCCCTTGCTGAGGAGTTTATGCACTATTTTCCAGATGTCACCTTGGATAATTCTGTTTGGAAAATGGTGCAGAATCCATACATTGATGTGGACTTGTTACTGGAACCTTTGCAAGAAGATGCCATCAATTTGAAATGTGATTCGAGTGCAAAAGACAACTTTGAAGCCATGAATCTGGAGGAGGTATGGGTGAAATCTCCCTATTTACCCAAAACTTGGTGAAGAAGCACTTCGTTTGATGATTCCCTTTTCATCTACTTATCTCTACGAAGTTGTTTTTTCAACTTTGTTGTACTGAAAACAAAGCAGCGCAATCGACTGGACGTAGAAAGCGACTTGCGTTGGGCACTATCATCCTTCAGGTCTAGAATTTCTGATCTTGTGAAAAAGAGACAGCAACATCCATCTCACTAAAATCATTTCATTCAAATATTTAAATTTTTAATTTCCAGTATTACGATAATATTCCCAAATATTACAGCATGTGCTATGTCTTGATAGCTTTTAGTCACGTTGGAAAACAGCACGAGCTTTTATTTCAGTGATTTACTAGTCTCAAAAGTGTCCTTTTTATGATTTTTTTTTATTTTTTTATATGGCTCCCGTAGGAGCAAGTGTTTATTGAAGTGTATTATGATATCCCCAAATACTATGTGTTATGTCTTGATAGCTTTTATCCAGCTCGGAGAACAATGCAAGTTTCTGTTTCAGTGGGTTTACTAAAGCCGCAAAAGTGTCCTTTTTTTATAATTTTATTTAATTATTCCTTGGTTCCTGTAGGAGAAAATTTTTAATGAAGTATATAATTAAAGTCTTTTATACTGGTATTATTTATGTTTTATTTGTTTTCATCCATGTTCACTATGCAAGAAGTTATATGATCCTCAACAATACTAAAATATAATTATAATAAAATATAAAATCTATGTAGATTTTACAGATAAATATATAACGAGGGGGGTGGGGGGTCTGAGGACTTCGCAAAATGCAAAAGGGGATGTCATGTTAAAACGTTTGGGAACCACTGCTACTTCCATAGTGGACGCTACTGAGTCTCCCAGTGACGAGGGCAAGCTGTCAATTCCCACTACACCTTGGAGTAATAGTGTACGTATAGACCTTCGCACCTGCATGCCTTTGACTTCCAATTATATCTCCAATGTGTGTCGTTGTTTTTCATGGGTAACAGTGCCAACAAAGAGTGACACTGGTTTTCCATACGTCTTCAATCGCTGCAGTAGACTCTTTGCACAGAAGGATCGATTACTGCTGGAGTCCAGAAGAGCATTTGTTCTTGTCGCGCGCCTTTAGTTCTCCCTCTTGGTTGACTCTCCAGAGTCCCAGTATGGTTTCTTAATTCGGCCTCCATCTTTATGACTTCGTGACCTCTTGTCGCGCCGTTCATGCCAATCATCTTGTTGTGTAGGTTCCGACCTTTCTCTCTTGATGCCGTGGTTCCTCTTGATTGAGTAGTCACACGTGTCCCTAGTCTGTTCAACACAGTCACGAGTCTTTCTCATATCTTTTCCTTGGCTCTGGCGTCTATTGCCATACCTTTCCCTTCGTATGTAACTCTGAACACCCTCCAATGTCCTACGGTGAGTATCCCGTCGGACACATTGGCCTGTGTCTCATTTTGATTCACAAGAAGCAGTACCGCACTTGTTGTACAGTTCGGGTTCTCTTACATTCTGCCATACTACGAAACTTGCGGCAATGATTTAAGTTATGATCTTCTGAGCAGAGCAACCAAGCCTTGCGCTCTGCGTCCATAACAGCCAACCCTACAGCACGCCTGCTTGCATTATTGCCGGCATATCGTCTATCTCTGGCTCCCCATGTTTCTGTGTATGCCTCTCTTGCATTTCCAGTACCAGTGGCCATCTGTAAGAAAACCCAGAAATGTTCTTTTCTCCTTGAGTTTCACACTCCTCCACTTTACTTCGGTATTTCTTGCCCAAGTGACTGGGTAACTTCTCAACCAGTAACTCTTTCCCCAACAGACTGTCAACTTGCCACACTGCTCTAAGTTACAGATACATACATTCAGCCTGTCTGCTAGATATTGAAGTTCCGCTGTCATTAGTACGCACTGACGAGGTCAACATCAGGTCCTGAATCTGTTCACGAATAAAGGCATCTTCTCCACCAAATCGTATCCGCAGTGTTCTTAGAGCCAGTTGATAGCCGTTTTCTACAGTACTATATGAGTATAGGTGGTCTTGAATTTCTTCAGAACAAGCCTGCAGGAGGATGCGCATCTTCTCAGGGTCAGAAATCTGGGTCTTGTCTACAGCGTCATTGAAGCAACGCATATAGCTCCAATACTCGCGACGGCTTTTCGCTATGAAGGGCGAAAGGCATATGTATCGGGAGTGTAAGGCTGACATAACCGCCCAGCTCCTCCCATGGTTCCTTACTCTTTATATCAGCAAACTGTGATGGTATAACCTCGTTTTTGCCAAGAGTCGCCTCATTTTGGGTGTGGTCGTATCACCTTGGTTTCTTCCATGGCTTTTTTTTTTTTTTTTACCGGTTGATCCTCCCCCCGATGAGGCCGTGCACCTGCTTCAAAGTTTGCTCTGTTGGGTCTTCTTGACAGGGCAATTGCCCTCCCTTGTAGTTGCAGGCTTGACTATACACTTCTTTGGGTTTTCGGCTAGTTCCTGGTTGGGGTGAGTCGTTCTTATCGCTGGCAATTGGTACACTTTCCAGTTCATCTTGCTCTTCTGTCGTAGGGCCAGCGAGCAGTGGTTGTCCATCATTTTCCACATATAGATCGATTTCTTGTGGCCTCTCATTGTTTTCTATGTCCGCCATTTCGTCCAATTGGGTGCGGTTGTTTGTGATTTGTGGTGGTGTATGGGTACAGTTCAGCTGGTTCAGTCAACAGCAAGCAAGCACACACTGATGTGTCTGGGGGTTGTTTTGGTAATGCATCAAGTACACTGATGTGTCGGGCTGGTTCTGTCAATAGCAAGCAAGCACACACACACTGATGTATCTGGGGGCTGGTTTTGGCAATATCAAGAAATTACACTGATTTGTCTGGGGTTGGTTCTGTCAATAGCAAGCAAGCACATGTGTGTCTGGGGGATTGGTACAAGTGCACATTTCTGCTGTGCCTTGGGGGTTGGGACAAGTGCACACTTCTGCTGTGCCTTGAGGGTTGTTACAAGTGCACACTTCTGCTGTGCCTTGGGGGTTGTTACAACTGCTCACTTCTGCCGTGCCTTGGGGGTTGTTACAAGCACACTCTTCTGCTGTGCCTTGGGGGTTGTTACAAGTGTACACTTCTGCTGTGCCTTGTTACAAGTGCACACTTTTGCTGTGCCTTGGGGGTTGTTATAAGTTCACACTTCTGCTGTGCCTTATGGGTTGTTACAAGCACAATCTTCTGCTGTGCCTTGGGTTTGTTACAAGTGCACACTTCTGCTGTGCCTTGGGGGTTGTTACAAGTGCACACTTCTGCTGTGCCTTGAGGGTTGTTACAAGCACACCTTCTGCTGTGCCTTGGGGGTTGTTACAAGTGTACACTTCTGCTGTGCCTTGGGGGTTGTTACAAGTGCACACTTCTGTGCCTTGGGGGTTGTTACAAGTGCACACTTCTGCTGTGCCTTGAGGGTTGTTACAAGTGCACACTTCTGCTGTGCCTGCTGTGCACAAGGGTTGTTACACTTCTGCTGTGCCTTGAGGGTTGTTACAAGTGCACACTTCTGCTGTACCTTGGGGGTTGTTACAAGTGCACACTTCTGCTGTACCTTGGGGTTGTTACAAGTGCACACTTCTGCTGTGCCTTGAGGGTTGTTACAAGCACACACTTCTGCTGTGCTTTGGGGGTTGTTACAAGTGCTCACTTCTGCTGTGCCTTGGGGGTTGTTACAAGTGCTCACTTCTGCTATGCCTTGGGGGTTGTTACAAGTGCACACTTCTGCTGTGCCTTGGGGGTTGTTACAAGTGCACACTTCTGCTGTGCCTTGGGGGTGACAACAATGAGAGTAAAAAACCCACAAGTTTCATTAAGAGGTAATATTATCATCTCGGTCACTTATAAGGTCGTACAAAATGCTCCAGAAGTGTTTTAATCTTGAATTCATTCGAACTAGAAATCTAAATCAAGACTGTCTGGAGCATTTGTTTGGGTGCATAAGAGAGATGTATGGAACCTACGACCATCCAAATGCTGTCATTGAAAGGTGTACCTTTATCATTTGTTTGTCTAAGACCAATATTTCTTGACAAGCAGTCACAATTATCATTATTTGTGTTAGATTTCACAGAAATTAGTGAAACGTCTTTTCCCAGGAGTAACTTCTTGAGCTTGAACTTAAGATTCATAGCATTTGGATGGTTGTAGGTTCCATGCATCTGTCTTATGCACCCAAACAATTGACTTTGGACCAGGCCAAGGTCAATATAGAGAGGTCGGCCGGACAGCTGTCTAGTTTTCTGTGGCTCTGCGCAGTGACGTCACGTGAACTATAACTGGCTGGCCCACTCCCTCTCTCTCTCTCTCTACTTGTCTGTTTATCTTTACAGTATCATTATCATAACCCCGTTTCCTATATCCTGGTATTGCGGGGCTTAGCTTGGAAAGAAGGAGATAGATGTAGCTATAGTAAGAGAAGCTTTCTAAAAGGGTGTCATAAAGGGTCTGGTCACTTTCGTCCCTTCATTGTGGAAAGAAGGAGAGCTGGCATTATTTGAATATTCTTACTAATTTCCTGAAATTCATACGCTTATTTCAGTGCAATTGATCTGTGCACTTGAGTTCATAACTGCCTCTTCTGAAATGTTTCCGTATTAGTGTGTATGAATCTAAAAGGGGAGTAAATATATCATTTTATTTACACATATAGGTTATAAATAAATAACATAAAT